GGTGCCTCGTCCCCAGTTAATCACTCATGACATGCTTCCTGAAGGTCACAGTCCTACTCCAACAGGTTATAGTTATGCCTGTCCAAGCCCTACTCTTCCCTGATAGGGTTGGAGCTTCTTGAGAACAGGGATCAATAGTTGGTACTTAATAGATGGTTAATGAATGAATGAATGAATATTTTCAGGGTATTCCAAATGCTCTGACAAGGTCTGATAAATCTACAAGGACTATTTTTTAGGATGCCTTGAACTAAGGCCTGTAAGATAGCAAAAACCTCCTCAAACTGACCCTCTGTTTTGTTTATATATATTTATTAGGCCGTGCTGGGTGTTAGTTGCGGCATGTGGGATCTAGTTCCCTGACCAGGGATGGAAACCAGGTCCCCAAAATTGAAAGCGTGGAGTCAACCATTGGACTACCAAGCAAGTCTCTGACTCTGGATTTAAAGGAACTTTGGCATTCTGAAGAGCAACTTCCAACTTGCAGAGAGTTAATTATCAGCAGGGAGTTGACCCAAGAGGGAAGAAGGGCAGAAGATCCTCCCCTCTGTCTGTTATGTAAAATTGGAGAGAGTGTGGTGTGGTGTGAAGATTAAACTACACAGTGTTCTGAAAGCTGAGTGCCTGGGGCAAAGCTAGCCCCAAGAATGACAGCATCAGCACCAATCTTTTTTTCATTGTTGTTATTGTTGGGAAGAATTGAGTTTGCTGGGCAAGAGGGTTGGCCAGCTGATTCATCTGCAGTTAGTACATAGCAATTTCTGCTTCAGGACTGCATTTCCACTTCCAGCTCCATGCTTGTCAGCACATGTATTAGTTTCCCATTGCTGCCTTAACCAATGCCAGAGGCTTTTAACACTGCAGGTGCATCACCTCATGGTTCTGTAGATAAGAGAGCCAACACAGGTCTCTTGGGGCTAAACTCCAGCCATTGGCAGAGCTGTGTGGCTTCTTGGGGCCCGGAGGCCCGCCCTCCGGCTTCAAAGCCAGCTTTTGTGTGCCAAGTGCTAATGCTGCCATCTCTCTGACCCTTTGCCATGGGTGTTGAAAGTCACTGACATTCTGTGCCTTCTCTCCATACCTTCAGCCAGGAAAGCATCTCCAGTTTTAAGAATTTGTGTGATTACATTAGGGTTTCTCTGGTGACTCCGACAGTAAAGAATCTGCCTGCAATGCTGGAGACCTGGGTTTGATCCCTGGGTCAGGAAGATCCCCTGGAGAAGGGAATGGCTACCCATGCCAGTATTCTTGCCTGGCAGACAGAGGAGCCTGGCGATTGGCACCCCTGGGTAATTCTAGGGTAATCTCCCCATTTCAAGGTCCACACCCTTTATCACATCTGCAAAGGCCTTTCTGCCACATAAGGCAACATATTCATAAATCCCTGCAACATCTTTGGTAGAGTGGGGGATGTCTTTATTCTGCCTAACACAGCATACTGTCTTACAAGCTGTCCTGGTTATGTTTTCTGTGTAGGGAATGTCCAATCTCTTCTTCAGAGGGTCTCCCCATTGTCATCATAATAGCAAATCATTCGGAAGAGTTACCACATGCCAGGCACTGTTCTAAGGAGAATATATTGGCTTGGTCAAAAGGTTCGTTCGAGTTTTTCTATAAGATTATACCAAAAAACCCAAATGAAATTTCCAGCCAACACTACATTTCTGCATTTATTCAATCTTCACAAATTCATTATGAGGCTCCCCACTCATGAAGCACTGGTCTGTGCACAACCACTTTCTTCCCAAGAGCATAGCCAAGAGAGGTAGGGGGATCAGTTCACAGCAGAGAAACCTGACAAATACCATCTCAACCAGGAGATCAAGGTCAACATCCACAGTTGGAAGTCACACTGATAGGATATACTATTGAGACAATATGGTGAAAAGCCTGCTTTACCCCTGTGACTTCTCCCTTCCCCAAATCTATAATCCCAGTCCAATTATGAGAAAAAATAAGACAAATTTCAATAAAGGGGGACTTCCCTGGTGGTCCAGTGACAAAGAATCGGCCTGCCAATGCAGGGGACATGGATCTGATCCCTGATCCAGGAAGATTCCACATGCCTCAGAGCAACTAAGCCTGTGCACTGCAACTCTGGAGCCTGTGCTCTGGAGCCCAGGAGCCACCGAGCTGAAACCTGCACACGCTAGAGCCGGTGCTCAACAGCAAGAGAAGCCATCACAATGGGAAACCCACAGAACACAGCTAGAGAGTAGCCCCCACTCTTCACAACTAGAGAAAACCCGGTGCGCAGCAACGAAGACCCAGCACAGCCAAAAATAAATAAATAAATAAAATTGTTAAATTATATAAAAATTCCAACAAAGGGACACCTTGCAGGACTAGTACTTGACTGTGCATGCATGCTAAGTCGTTTCAGGGGTGTCCAACTCTTTGCGAACTTACAGGTTGTAGCCCACCAGGCTCCTCTGTCCATGGGATTTTCCAAGCAAGAATATTGGAGTGGGTTGCCATGCCCTCCTCCAGGGGATCCTCCTGACTCAGGGATCAATCCCGCATCTCTTATGTCTCCTGTGTTGGTAGGTGAGTTCTCTACCACTAGCAACACCTGGGAAGCCAGTACCTGACTAATACTCCTCAAACTCTCAAGGTCATCAAAGACAAAAAAGTCTGAAATGCTGTCACAGCCAAGAGGAGCCTAAGGAGCCATGACAAGTAAATGTGATAAGAAGTCCTAAATGGGATCCTGAAACAGAAAAAAGACCTTAGGGAAAAGCTAAGGAAGTCTGAATAAACCATGGGTTTTAGTTAATAGTAATGTATCAGTATTGGGTCATTACTTATAACAAATGTTAGTAACAGAGAAAACTGGGAAGTCTACACTCGCTTCTTAACTTTTCCAGAAATCTAAAACTTTCAAAAAATAAAATCTGTCATCACAATTAACTTAATAGAACTCTACAAGATAAGTAGTACCAACATTATCCCCATCTTACAGATAAGGTAACTAAGGCACAAAGAGGCAACTTATATAAATGGTGAACCCGGGATTTTAATTCTGTATTCTGGCTCCACGTTTCAATGCTCTTTTTTGTTTTTTAAAGATTTTTGATGTGAACCATTTTAAAAGTCTTTATTAAATTTGTTATAATATTGCTTCCTATTCATGTTTTGGTTTTTTGGCTGTAAGGCATAAAAAAATCCCTTAGCTCCCCAACTAGGGACCAAATCCACACCTCCTGCATTGGAAGGTGGAGTCTTAACCACTGCACCACCAGGAAAGTCCCCTAAGTTCAATGCTCTTGCCACCATGTTTTCCAGTTTATCCAGGGGCTGTCCAATCTTCTCCATTATTCCAGAAATTCCCCAAGGTCACGACCTGTCTCTTCCCTCAGACTAGAGCTAGGATTGCTCGTCTCTCCTTGAGGGGTAGGACTATATTTCCACCAGACTGGGCACCATCTCCTGCCCACTAGGCATATTTAATGTAGAGATACATCCTGAGTTACAGGGATATACCAGTGCTATTAACTGGAGTGCTTCCCCCCACCCCACCTTGCCCCAGGGACACTTGGCAATATCTGGAGACATTTTCAGTTGTCACAACTTGGGGATCCTGGCATCTAGTGGGTAGAGGTCAGGGATGCTGGGAAACATCATACAATGCCCAGGACAGCCCCCCAACAAAGGAATCACTCAGTCCCAAAATTTTTGTCACAAGTGCCAAGACCAAGAAACCCTGCAATAGACCTTATTTCGAACACTGTCTCCCTTTGTCCTCATAAGGAAATTCACATGTGTCTAACCATGTGTACCACGATTTTGGTTTGGGAAATATGGTCACCATTTTTAGCCCATTAGTAAAATATGTCAGTGTATCAGGGTCTGTGTGATGAAGCGCTGCACCCTGGGGGATAGAGGAGCGAGGGGCCGGTGCAGGGTCCCTCCTGCTTCTTCTAGCTTCTGCCTCCATTGACTAGACTTCCCAACCTCCAGCCTGGCCCTTTGGGCAGAGGCACCAGGATGCCCTGTTTCCTGGGGCAGGAGGAAGTTCTCAGCCCTGAGGAGGTCACAGCTGAGTCAGCCCTTCTTGGCTCCAGCTCCTAGAGCACATGCAGACATGAAAGAGCTACATCCACATCTCGGCTCACAGCTTGCTCCAGGCAGCCAGCCCGAGAGGCGTGGCGGGGAGTGGGGCGCGGGCAGCTGCCAAGTCAGCCCCGTCCTCTTCCAAAACCTTCCCGAGACTCGCCAGACTGGCTTGTCATGGCTGCTGGGGCACTTTGGGCAAGTCATGACTTTCTGGACCTTGGTTCTTTTGTATGTTGAAAGCAGAGAACACTGTGTCTCTATCAGTCCAGGAGAACAGCTTTATTGAGCACTGACTCAGTTACGTGATTCCAGGTGCTGGAGAAAGTGTGGTGGACAAACAGCACTCGTCTTCAAGGAGGGTGTCCCAGGAGAGGGGAGGCAGAAAATGCAATAGTCCACGTGGATCTATTTCTAATGGGGTCTGCGTGGCTGCTGTGACTGGCAGGTGCTCTGCCTGTTGGCTCCCAGCTTCATGCCCTCCCTTCTGTGTTCTGCCGGTGCTAGAAGCCTGCAACTACATTTCCCAAGCTCCAGTTAGGTTCTGTGAATGGGGGGAACCGGTGAGAGGTGGGGAGGCACAAGGAAGGGAGAAGCAGCATTTTCTGCTTCCGCAGGTGACTTCTCGAGTAGCAGCAGCAGAGTGGCACTGGGCATGGGCACTTCTGCAGCCTCAGTCCATGAATCTCCCAAACTTGCACTGGAAATGCTATGAGTATTTGAAGGAAGTTTTTGGGAGACTGCTCATAACTTTCATCAGATTGCCAAAGAAATATGGGATCCTAAAAATAATCAGGAAGTGAAGGCAAGGCCGTCTGTCAATCACAGATATTCCTTCAGGTAGTGGTACCTCCCTGTCTCCAAGATGGGATTCAGGAAGAAAGACTTACTTATTTTTACTTCTATTTATATTGGGTTTATTCATATTTACTCTTTGTCTCACTTTTTCACTTTGAAGCATATTTATTATGTACATTACGTATTAACAAAATAGCACAGGCATATAATTTACAAGTAAATGACACATATGAGGCAATTTTAAAAACTTGCTTGATGGGCAATTTTAAAAACTTGATATTGGCGTGCTGTCCAAACACTTTAGTATATGTGCTGCCGAAGCGAGCACTGTCCAAACACTTTAGAAGAAGCAGGGCTTGAACACCAATGTTCACTGCAGCATAATTCATAGCAGCCAAAAGATGGAAACAACTCAAGTTTCCAACAAAACATGAATGGGTAAAATATGTGACATATCCATATAGTGGAACATTATTCAACCATAAAAAGAAATTAAGTTCTGATACATTCTGCAACATGGGTGAATCTTGAAAACAATATACAATTTATCATATAATAAATTGCTATTGTCTTAAGCCATCTGGTTTTTGGTACTTTGTCAGGGACACCTGAACAAACTAGGGAGTTACTGCTTAGTAGTTCCAAAATGCTACTTGGAATAATGAAAAAGATTTGGAGTTAGAGAGTGGTGATGGCTACACAACATTTTGAATGTAATTCATGCCACTGAATAGTACACTGAAAATTTTTAAAGTGGGAAAAAGTATATTATAAATGTCTTACCACAATTCAAAATAATGAAAAATGTAATATACCCAAACCCATTAAATTATACAATTTAAATGGGTAAATTGTATGGTTTGTGAATTGTATCTTCATAAAGTCATTAGAAAATGGTTTATGTATGGAGGGGCAAAAGACTCTGAGTAACAAACACATTATTGAAGAAAAACAAAGTTGGAGAACTGGCATTATCCAATATTAAGACTCACTATAAAGCTACAGTAATCAAAACAGTGTGGTATTGGCAAAAGAATAGACAAATAGATTATTGGAACAAAATCGAAATCACAGAAATATACTCATATAAATACAGACAACTGATCTTTGACAAAAGAGCAACGCAATAGAGCAAAGACACTCTTTTCAACAAGTGGTGTTGGAACAATTGGACATCCACATACAAAAGATAAAATAAAAAGAAGCTAGACACAGACCTTACAGTCCTCACAAAAATTAACTCAGAATGGATCACAGGCCTAAATGTAAACACAAAACTATTAACTCCCAGAAGATTACTTAAGGGAAAGTTAGATGACCTCAAGATTGGCAGTGACACTTTAGATATAATGCAAAAGACACAATAGGTGAAAGAAATAATTGATAAACTGGACTTAAAATTTAAAACTTCTGCTCTGTGAAAAATACTTTCAAGAGAAAAACAGACAAGCCGTAAACTGGGAGAAAATATTTGCAAAACACATATCCGATAAAGGACTCACCCGAAATACACAAAGAACTCTAAAGAATTCAGCAATTAAAAAAATGTACCACCTCATTTAAAAATGAAAAAAAGATCTGAACAGACACTGAAGATGACATATATACGCAAACAAGCATATGAAAAGATGCTCAATTTCATATGTCATTAGGGAAATGCAATTTAAAGCAACAATGGGATACCACTACACACCTATCAGAATAACGAGACTGCAAAACACTGACGTCTCCACATATTGCTAAGGATGTAGAGAGCAGGAACTCTCTCTGCCAATAGAAATGCAAAGTGGTGCAGCCACCGTGAAAGAGAGTTTGGAGGGTTCTTAGAAAATTAAACACTTACCATATGATCCACTAATCATGCTGCTAGTAATTTACCCAAACGAGTTGGAAACTTATGTCCACAAAGAAACCTGCACACAGATGTTGATAGCAGCTTTATTCATAATTCCCAAAACTTCTAAGGAACCAAGATGCCCTTCAGTTTAAAAAAAATGGATAAAGAGACTGTGGTATATTCAGACAATGGAATATTATTCAGTGATAAAAAGAAATGGGCTATTGAGCCAAGAAAAGACCTGGAGGAACATTAAGTATATATTATTAAATGAAAGAAGCCAATCCAAAAGGCTACATAATGTATGGTTCCAACTACACTACATTCTGGAAAAGGTAAAATTATGGAGACAGTTAAAAGATGAGTGGTTGTCAGGGGTTAGGGGAGGGAAGCATGAATAAGTGGAGCTCAGAGGAATTCAAGGGAAGTGAAAATACTCTGTATGATACTCCAGTGGTAGATACATGTTGTTATGTTTGTCAAAACCTACAGAATGTACACTGCCAAGGATGAACCCTGGTGTTAACTATGAGCTCTGAGTGATAACGATGTGACGACGTAGATTCATCGGCTGATAAAAATGTCGCATCTGGGGTGGGTTGTGGACAGTGGGGGAGGCTGTGCGTGTGGTGGGGACAGAGGATATATATAATTGCTGTTGTTCAGTTGCTCAGCCGTGTCTGACTCTTTGTGACCCCATGGACTGCAGCACACCAGGCTTCCCTGTCCTTCGCTGTCTCCTGGAGTTTGCTCAAACTCGTGTCCATTGAGTCGCTGATGCTGTCTAGCTATCTCATCCTCTGCTGCCCGCCCGCTTCTCCTGTTGCCTTCAATCTTTCCCAGCATCAGGGTCTTTTGCAGTGAGTTGGCTCTTCACATCATATGGCCAAAGTATTGAAGATTCAACTTCAGCATCAGTACGTCCAGTGAACATTCAGGGTTGATTTCCTTAAGGATTGACTGGTATGAACTCCTTGCTGTCCAAGGGACTCTCAAGAGTCTTCTCTAGGACCACAATTTGAAAGCATCAATTCTTTGGCCATCAGCCTTTTTATGGTCCAATTCTCACATCCATACATGACTACTGGAAAAACCATAGCTTTGACTCTATGGACCTTTTGATGTCTCTGCTTTTTAACACACTGCCTAGGTTTGTCACAGCTTTCCTTCCAAGGAGCAAGCATCTTTTAACATCATGGCTGCAGTCATTGTCCACAGTGATTTTAGAGCCCAAGAAAATAAAATTTGTCACTGCTTCCACTCTTCTCCCTTCTATTTGCCATAAAGTGGTGGGACCAGATGCCATGATCTTAGCTTTTTGAATGTTAACTTTTAAGCCAGTTTTTTCACTCTCCTCCTTCACCCTCATCAAGAGGTTCTTTAGTTCCTCTTCACTTTCTTCCATTAGAGTGGTACCATTTGCATATCTGAGGTTGTTGACATTTCTCTCAGCAATCTTGATTCCATCTTGTGATTCATCCAGCCAGGCATTTCACACGATGTACTCTGCATAGAAGTTAAATAAATAGGGGGACAATATATAGCCTAGTCAGACAGGAACTCACTATACTTCCACTCAATTTTGCTGTGAACCTAAATCTGCTCTAAAAAATAGTCTTTTTTATTTTAATCCAAATGCTGGCACTGTCCAGAAAATTTTAACAGGTTTACTTATAATTGTTATAAAGTTGAATTACTAAGAAAAAAGTAATTTGGAGGCCTGTGCATGAAGATGTTTATACATGATTAACAGCAGCTTACTCTGGGAGTTGGTGACGAACAGGGAGGCTTGGCGTGCTGCAGTCCATGGGGTCACAATGAGTCGGACAGGAATGAGTGACTGAACTGAACTGAACGCAGCTCAGAGTTACTTAACTTACCGGGGGATGAAGAAGATTTATCCAGGAGTAGAGGATCGGTGATAACCTAAGTCCCCCTGGTGCTGGAGAAGACTCTTGGACTGCAAGGAGAGTCAGTCCTAAAGGAAATCAACCTTGAATATTCACTGGAAGGACTGATGCTGAAGTTGTAGCTCCAGTGGCCACCTGATGCAAAGAGCTGACTCATTAGAAAAGATTCTGAGGCTGGGAAAGATTGAAAGCAAAAGGAGAAGGGAGTGGCAGAGGATGAAATGGTTAGACAGCATCACCAGCTCAGTGGACATGAGTCTGAGCAAACACCAGGAGATAGTGGACAGGAAAGCCTGGCATGCTGCAGTCCATGGTGTCACAAAGAGTCAGACATGACTTGGCGACTGAACAAGAGGATCAGTGATGACTTGAGGCCCCTCCCACTCCCCCAGGAAAGATGGAGCTGAAGGGAAGGCTGTGGGGCTCAAGCAAGTTACTTAACCTCCTGTGCTTGTCTCTTCACCTGTAATATGAGCGAAATACTAGTATTTAATATAAATTGATATTTAATGTTGTGACTATTAAACTGGTTAATTCATGCAAAGTGCTGATCTGTGCCTGTCGCATAGTAAGCACCATATAAGGGTTTGAAACAAGACTCATGAAACAAAACTCAGAACAATGGACACATACGTGCCCTGTGAGGCTCCCCTCGTTTTGGGGATGAATGTTCAGGAGCACAGTGCCGGGCAAAGGACCTACCATTTACTGAAGCCTGTGATGTTGTACCAGGTGGTCATTTAATTTCTCCCCAGTTGTGGGATGGCAACAGTCCTCTTGGGTTCACACAACAGAACTGGAAGCTCAAATAATTCAAATGACTTGTCCCAAATCACAGAACTAGGTAGAAGGGACTGAGGCAAGATGCAACTTGGGTCTCCATGACACCAAACCAAGGCCCACTCTTTCCAGGCTGTCAATTACCAATGCTTCAGAGGAGAGGAGCAGGGCCACACCTCCATCTCTGGTAACCAGCTTGGAGGTGGGGGACACCTTCAAAGAAAATCACAGTTCTCCCTCTGTGGTAAAGGCCCTGTCAGGGATCAGGATGATCACTGCACTGGGCTTCAGAAATGCGGTTCAAGGAACTCCCCTGGTGGGCCAGTAGTTAAGACTCCACACTTCCAATGCAGGGGGCAGTTCAATCCCTGGTTGGGCAACTAAGATCCTGCATACCATGTGGCATGGCTAAAAAATTAAAAAAAGAAATGTGCTACAAGTCCCAGTTCCACTCCATACTAGTTGTGTGGCCAGGGGCAAGTCATTTCACCTCACTGTGCCTTGGTTTCCTCATCTGTAAAATGGGGATAATAGCTATCCAGACTGTCTGGGTATTAAAGGAAGCAACTAATCTAGAACCATCCAGCAAGGGGCTGGCATACAGAATATATCCAACTCGTGTATACTGAACCACTGTCTCCGATCACCAAGAATGAAGAGAGGAACAGAAGCAGGCCTGGGACCCAGAGTTCCCCTCCCACTCTCACATGCCATGTCCTCCAGAAAGGGGCGGGAGGTGAGAGCCCCATTCTCCACGCTGCTCATCAAGGACGGTGATAGTCAGGGCACTCAGTTCCTATCCAGCCCTTCCCCCCATGACACAGCAGCACTCCCCCTTGGACGCAAGCCCTCTGCAGGGAGGTTGCGCCACAGCAGCGCATCCCCCACTCTCCAGGGCACGGAGACCACAGCTGTGGTCCAGCTGCGGAACCCAGCCCAGCCACCGACTGGTCCCGTGCCAGCGACAGGAAGCGGGAAGAGCTGTGCATGCCTTTCGGGACACTGGGGAGGGGTGGACGCCGGGGGCTGGAGCCAGGCCAGGCTCTGTGATCACATTGTGTGGAAAGGAGCCGACAGGAGAGCTGTGCAGGGTCACTGTCCCCGCTCACTGTCTGGAGGGCTGTGGGGGCAAGGGGGTGAGGAAAAGCCCCGGCAGGCAGGAAAGAGCACTGAGTTGGGAGTCTGGAAACCTGGCACTTGGTAAGCTTTTACCACCAACTCACTGTGTGACTTGCATTAGCCCCTTTCCCTCTCTCTGGCCCCTTGTTTTCCCATCTGCGAAACTGGAAATATACATGGAGCTACCTGTGTCAGACCCAGTTCTAGGGAGTACCCTAGGAGACAAAGCAAAGTCCCTCTCCCCTGGAGCTTTCATTCTACTAGTCAACAAGCAAGTACATAAATAGGAAAATAGGTGAAAGGTTTATAAAGAATAATAAAGTGGTGGGAGGGGACAGAGAGCAAGGGGTCTGGGATGGCCTCTCTGCGAAGATGACCTAAGTAGAGGAGACGAGGAAGGGGGCCAGGTGAATAGCTAGGGTAAGCACACTCTGGGCAGAAGGGGGAGCAAGTGCAAAGGCCCTGAGGCAAGCACAGGACACAAGTTGAGAAAACAACCTCAGGAAGCAGCAAGGCTGGAAAGAAATGAGTAAGGGGGAGACGAAAGTGAAGGCAGGTGGAGCCCAGCTCTGGGAGCATGAAGGCCATTGTGAGCACTTTGCATTTGACTCTGAACTGATTATTGGGCCTCAGGAAAGCTAGGTCTGGGCTTGTCTGAAGAGCCCACTTGGTGTTGTCAAGTGGGAGCTGGAAGTGTTGGGACCATCTTTAGCCTCTACTCATTTACTCTGGGGCCCCAGTCAGGTCCTTCGGGAGGAGACAATAATAGGCCAAGGACAGGGTGAGGTGTGCAAGGCCTAGAGTGAGGCTCAGGTGTGAAACTTTAAGGGAGCAGCAAAAAAAAAACCTTGGTAATTAACATAAAACAATATTTTCCTGCAATATATCTAAAAATGGAAATTAATGCAAAAAATCTATAATGAACAAAATGCCAACATTTTAAATGAAGACAGGACCTAAACCTGAACTTTCATGATCCCATCTCACTCGTTCCACTTTAATCTCAGCACTGGTTCCAATAAAACTTTATTTATAAAAATAGGCAGCTAGCTGGCAGGGCTGTAATTTGCTGATTTGCTTTTTAATATTGAATTACAATGCTTTTTATATTGGCATCTTCCTGAATTTCGCACCCCAGCAGAGTCTCCCAGTTACCTCATTCTAGTCCTGACCCTGGATAGCACTGAAACGATTAAGGTCCACATGGAGGGTCCCAATGCATTCCTCCTGAGGCTCAGAGAGGTAAACGGACTTCCCAGGAAAACAGGTAGATGGTGGAATTGAGGTCTGGAGCTGGAGTCCCATGCCAAGGCCTACCACCTGGTCATCACGTCATACTGTGTCTTGTCCTGGAAGGCCGATTTTACTTAGCTGGTGTTTTTGTTTTCATTTTCCCAACTTTTTATTCAAGTATAATACTCATATATATTTTAAAAAATGCCTGCACTATCAATGTTCAGCTTGCTGAATTTTCACACACTGAGCACACCTGTATAATCAGTATGTGGGATTAAATTTAAAGCCTGTTTTTACATTTCCAACAAACCAGACACATTACTTGGTGCTGGGCCAGAGTCAGAGGACTTCTGATCTCAGGCAGGTGATTTCAGAGAGGCTGGGAGACTGGGCGGATCCAGAGTTTAGGGGCTGGGGATAGATACTGAGAAGCAGGGTGGGGGTGGCGGGGGGTGTTAATGTTTCAGGGCTGGGGTCTGTGGTTAGGGAGGGGCCGCACATGCAGGAGAGGAGAGAGACAGTGGAGGCTGTCCTGGAGACAGTGTCCACCCCCCGCTTCTGTCCTTCCATTTCCAGTCTTGGAGGCGGATGAGGCCAAGCTCCGGGGCCCAGGTAAACCGGTAAGAATGCTGCAGTCTCCAAGCCCCGCGGGTGCGTCCCGGTGACTCAGCCTTTGCCAGGAAAGGAGAATCCGCCCCGCTCCCCAGAACTTCCAGACAGCAGCCTGATCCGGGCTCGCTCCCGGGGCTCCAGGCCGGGCTCCGCAGCAGGCAGCCCGGCCCCGGGAGTGGGACCCCTTCCTCCCCACCCGGGGGGACCGCCACTTCCGGCCGGAGCCACCTGGGCTTATCGCGGGGACGCTGCCTCCTGGCGGCGAGAGACGTGGGGGCCACAGTGGTCCTGGCTGCGACGGCGCCACGAGGACCTTTGAGCATCGTAAGTAGCGACTGCGGGGGTGCTGGGGAACATCGAGAAGAGGCTCTGGGTCCCTAGCGCGGCCCCGCGTCCCAGCCTCGGCTTCAAGTCCGGGCTTGGAAGGCGGAACCGGGAGAACTGGCCTGGCGCCGCCGCCGCCTCCCTAATTGCTCACCGGCCCTCATGGTGAGGAGCCCAGACGCGGCTCCCAGGCGTCCTCGGTCTAGCGTGGCCCAGACGCCATCAACCCAGCGGGCGGCCCCACCTGATCGTCTCCGGGCCCGCCCAACCCTCACCCGGCGGGCCGCAGGCTCCACGCCTCCCCCTTCCTCGGGGACCGGGTGCCAAGCCAGGGTCCCTGAACTAACCCCCCCCCCCAGCCCACCCCCATCACGACTGTCTGGTCGCAGCTCCTTCCTACCCCAGCCCTGAAGAGGGATCTAGCTCCATTCCAGACGGGTCGCCCCGCTGCCCCTCCCCCTCCCACACACCCCCCCCCCCCGAGGGGCTCCCTCTCTCCTCTTTCCCAAGCACCCCGCAATTTGGAAGGCCTCGGATTTCAGTGTGGAGCCAAATGAAGGGCTGAATTCCAGAACCTCTCTTTGCCTCCAAAGCCGGGTTTCTGACCCAAATTCCCACGTGCGGCTGGTGGGGGTGGGGGAATCAGTGATGCTGAGGGCTGCTCTTGGGACACGGGAGGCTCGAATGTCACCAACCGGATTTCCCGAAGCGATAGCTTCTGGTGGGGTGGGCACCCGGTCTGTGCCACAGCTTAGGACCGCGGGCGGGGACCGAGGAAGTGGGCGAAGCGTGCCTGAGAAACTCGATCACTCCCACCTTTGGGACAACGAGATTTGGGGGCCACAAATATTCAGACAATTGGCACGAGGTAGTTGTGATCACCGTGGTTTTTCTCTCTCTCTGGTTCTCTTGCTTTTTCCAAAACTTCTGCAGAGTTTAGCGTAGGCGAAGGGGAACTCGCGGCCCCCTTTGCAAGCCTCCCGGGGAGCTGGGCCTGGGAGGGGGGCGGAGATTTGGGGAGACTGGGGCCCAGCTCCGAGAGCGCGGAGGAAACGCGTGGAGCCGGCTTCCTGTGGGGGCTCCGGCCGCGGCGCCCCGCGGACAGACGTGTCCGGCCCAGGCAGCGCCTAGCCGGGCGCGGGGGAAGGGACGTGGGGGGGGGGGGCGCCTGGGAAGGCGAGGAGGGGGCGGGGAGAGGGTGGGCGGGAGAGGAGGGGAGGGAATAGGCGAGGCGAGCCGGGGAGGAGCGAGGGGGCTGCAGGGAGAGGAGGCGAGAGGCGCGCGCTGGCGCCGAAATGCTAGAAAGGAGCGAGTGAGAGGGGAGGGGCGCGGAGAAGCCGAGTGGCCCCTGGGCTGGGGCGCCCGCGGCCGGTGCGCATGGCAGGTCCCGCGCGGTGATCCCCGCGAGGCGAGAGAGCGGCGCGCAGCTCCCTAGAGTAAGTCAGTCCCGGACCGAGCCGGGAGGGGGGTGGGCGCGCGGCTGCCGGGGGATCGCCCCCTGCCTCGGCCCCCTTTTCCCCTGCGCGCGCGCGCGCGCGGACCTTCCGCCCCATCCGCTGAGCCCCGTTTCTCGCAGGTCCCGGGCCGATGTCCCAGGCGAGTGGCCAGCCTCCTCCTCACTGCGACGCGCCCCATGGAGCCCCCAGCGCAGCTCCGGGCCCAGGTAGGAACCAGGGATGCAGAACAAGACCGGACGGGAGCGAGGGGTAGGCGGCTGGGGAAGGGTGACTGGTAATTCTCCCCTCTCCTCTTTGAGAAGTGGGGAGACGGTTCGGGGGAGCTTGAGTGGAGGTGGGGGCGAGAAATCTGGGAAGCGGGGACCCGGTCCAAGGAGAGTGGAGGGCTGGGACGATGGGGGCAGGGCCCGAACGGAGGCGGCGGCCGCGCCAAGTTGGCTCCAACTTTCCCCACTCCCAACACCAGACACACACACACACCGCAGTGTCTGTCTGTCCGTCTGGGATTTGTGTCCCAACCGTTTCTGCCCAGTGTGTAAATATTTATGGGGGCCTCAGGCGGAGGTGGGGGGTGTCTGAGTCTTTCTCTCCTTCCCTTCCCCCACCCTAGCCGGAGCCTAGCGCTTCCCGAAAACTTTTGTCCGCAGCAAGCGGCTGCAGGATCGCCCCTCCCCTGCTTGCCATCTCTTCTCGCTCGCCTTCCTCCCCACCCGGGCCTGGCCAGCCCCTGCCACTCCTACCCTGCCTGCACACACAGGCACACACAGGCACGCACACACGCGCAGAGTTTCTCCCTCCCTGACCCCTCTCCTTCTCTCTCTCCCCTTCTCTCTTTCAGGCACTCACCCCAACCAAGTGCCCACCACTCAACTGAACTGTCCCTTCCCGCAAATACAGGATCTGTAACCTCCCTAGGATTATTCCTTCGGGATCCTCCCCCCTCCCAGGGTTTGTGACTCCCTAAGGGGGCCTGGGAAGGGGGCAGGGGCTGTGGGGAGTCTTGGTGATGTGGCTCTGTGTCCACCTTCTCACCATACACATGTGTGCTGAGGCTCCCAGTGGATAGCGGGGACAGGGAGAAGTCAGGGACATCTGGGGTTTGTTGGGGAAGGCGGAAGGGTGGTGGGCAGGAGGACAGGCCCGGATATCATGCCTTTAATCCCAGTTCTAGGTTAGCCTGATCATCTTCCTTCCTCTCACCCAGCCCCATTTGCCCTTTCTCCCCTCTTTGAGTCTCCAAATAATGGAGGTCTCATCCTGGACCTCTGACATGAACTCCCTGCATGGCCTTGGACAAGTTTCTTCCCCTCTCTGGCCTCAGTCTCCACATCCACCCACAGGAACTGGTCTACCCATTTGGAAAGGCCCAAGGCTACCTGGTGTGGACACTGGCCCTTTGGAGACCCAGGGCTGTGGAGGTGGGGGGGCGGGGGCGTCTAAAGTGGTGGGAGGGCAAGTGGCAGACAGCTGGCCAGGGGCCCACACATACATGAAACCAATGTGTCTGCTCCGCATCCCGCCAGCCCTCAGACTGCCCCCCTGAATGTGGGGGCCCTGGAGTAGGGACTTCTGGGGTATAAACTCCTTTAGGAACAGTGCTCCTGGAGCCTGGGGGGAGAGCTCAGGGCAGGGACCTGGGAAGGCTCTTTCTGTCTCTTGCTCCTTCCCTCTTGGCCTCCTGATTCTCCACGTCTCTCCCGTCTCCCCTGCCTTCTACCCCGGCTTATCCATCTTCTCTGTTCCCTCCTCCACTCCCTCCTTCCAAGACCCTCTCTCCTGTGGGACCCGTTCCCACCCCAGCAGAGGGGAGGAGGGGCTGAATGTGCTGGAGCCTGGAGCCGGGACAAGGGCCAGGGTGGGCCACTGGGAGGGCTAAGTCCTGGGCTGTAACTTGAGGCCCCAGCCCCAGCAAGCCCCCTCCCCAGCCTGGGCAGGGCCAGACAATGTGGCTTTCATAACACGAGAAGGCCTGGCTCTGCCGCCTTGGGAGATTGAGCCTGCTGCCCAGGAAGCCCAAACCGCAGGAGACCCAGCCAAAACCCCACAGACGCCTGAATCCGAGACCAGAATCCCCCACGCTCCCTGCTGAGCGCTGACAGAACAGCCAGGCCACGGTGCTACTCCAGGGGGCCCTGCAGGCAGAAACTCAAGTCAGCCCCTCCCTCGGCCGCCCAGGATGCAAATTGGGGTGCAAGGGGACCCAGGGCAGCTCTGGTCGGGGGCGGGTGGCCAAGCCCCCACACTCTTGGCTCCCCCAGTGGCCTCCTCCCCCTCCAGCCCTGAGAGCCCCAGGAGCCTGGCTCCCTAACCCACAGCAAATTTCTGTCCAGCACTGGGGCGTCACATTCCTGCTCTTGGTTCTGAAGTGAATTTCCTGGGGAATTGGAGCTTTTAGACCTAAAATAAAAACCAACCGGACCCAGCCTAACTGGTCAGCTCAGGCTGTCTCCAGTCCTTCTCCTGGTGGCCTGGGCCTGTGTCCCACGTGTCACAGTGTGTATCAAGCAAGTCCACGTTCTTACTGTCTGGGTGCCAGGCGCCAACCCTAATTCTCACCTTCTGGTTCTCTCGCCTCCTCCCAACCTGGGGCATTCTAGACTCCAGAACTCAGTCCTCACCATCAGACATTTGCTAAGTGCCACTGGGGGTGCTAAAATGACACTGACGTCGCCCCAGGGGAGTGAGCTGGGGAGGGCTGCAGTCTGGTTGAGGACCCACGCTTCACTCCCAGTTACAGTTTACAGCAGGGAGCTCTGGGCGCTGAATCCTCAGGAAGCGGCCACTCAGAGGAGGGACTGTTGGCTCGAGGGTCAGGGAAGTCTTTCTGGAGGAAGAGGTGAACCTCCGGCTGGGTCAGGAAGGGTGATTGGATTTGGGGAGAGGGGAAGGGTAGGACCTTCTGATCCAGAGGACAGTAGAAGCCTGGATGGATTGGGCAGAAGGCCCAGTGGTGGCCTGAGACCACGGAGAGGTCAGTCGACCTGAAACACAGGATCCTGTCCATTGATTAGGTTGAAGATGTAGATTGAGGCCTTGAATACCAGGTCAAGGAGGGACTGGGATGAAGGTCTCCAGTCACTGTTCTCTGAGCAGATCAGATCCCAGCCGTCTCTGCAGAGACAGTCGGAGCTCCAGGGGGAGAGGTCCCCAGGGAGCGGGCTCGGCTGGAGGTAGCACGCGTGGGAGCTCGAGGATGTGGGTCCTGTGGGCACTTTCCAGGCCTGGGATGAACCCATCTCACGTGGAAGAGGTCCCCCCAACTCCTTCTTGGTCCAGGAATGGCAAGCAAAGGGAGTGCACAGTGTCCGGCTGAAGCTCGAGTCTTTCCACTTCCCTCTCGGGCTTATGGATTTAAACGTGACCTTTCCACCCTCTTCCTGGGCTGTCTTTCCAGGACTCAGGGCATTTCTGTGCCAAGGATGAGAGTATGTCGAGGCATAGGGGCCCTTGCCCTTCTGCATTTCCCCCTTGGAGATGGAGACTCTTGAGAGAGGTGTAGGACTGGGGCTTCTGCTCAGAGATGCCTACCGCATGGCTGGCTCCCAGTATACAGTTGTCTTGTTTTTAATCTATTATTATTATTATTTTGGCTGTATCTCGAGGCATGTGGGAGGTGCAGAGTCCTAATCACTGGAGTGAATGAGTGATAGTCACTCAGTTGTATCTGACTCTTTGCAACCCCATGAAATACAGCCTGCCAGGCTCCTCTGGCCATGGAATTCTCCAGGCAAGAATACTGGAGTGGGTTGCCATTTCCTGGGAATTACCCCCATGCACATTAGAAAAAAGTGGCTGTTTGATCAGATGGGGCAGATGTACCTCTGGGTGAGCAGATGGCACCTCCAGGGAGGGTGGAACCCCAACCAGGGATTCTCACACCACCCCCACCCTGGGCAGCTTCATGCCCAACTTAAGTTGTTTGTCCACCCAGTGGCCTTTGCTGGCCTCCCCACCCTCCAGAAGTTTTTCCTCAGAGATGTTCTCCACTCTGGGGCTGAGCAGGGATCTCCTGGTTCCAAGAAGGAAAACTAGGGTCTTTCGGCCTCTTGATGGTTGGCCCCATGGTCCCCACCTTTTATCTGGCTTTGCTGCTCCATGTGCTCGCAGCGAGAGCTGTTTCTTGGTCCAGCATCTTAGCATTGCAGCCCCAGGCCATCTGTCACCAGCCGACAAAGTCTCCCCACCACTTCTTGTTCCTCCTCAGCCTGCTCCCCATCTCTGCGCCCTCTGCACAGTTTCCTCTTCTGCCCTCAGTGTTTTTCCTCCAGCGTCTGCTGAGTCCCCTCCACTGCCCTTTGGCTCCAAGAGGTCTGTCTGTCTGTGTTTCCAGGTCAAGATAACTGGACTGGATTTACTTTCCTCCCTGGTTTCCTTCCAAGGTCTGATGCTCACCCCAGAATGGCAGGCTTCCTGCAGGAGGGGCCTCTTCAGGACCTCGTCTGGGCTCTCTGTAATTTCCTGTTCCCACCAGATTCAAGGTCACCAGCCCTGTAGGTGACTGTGAGGAGAGACTGCCCAGAGAGTGGCAATCGGACATGTCGGGGAGGAGGGCTGGGGTGGGGACCGGTCTCCTAATCCTGCTTTCTCAGTTTCCTCCCTCTCCAACCCTGGGGGCCCAAGAGAGCTGCAGGCTCGACTCCTTCCACTCCAAGAGTAACAGTGTCACCTGTGTGTGCCCTGGTGACCTCAGGAGAAAGCCTGGGACGTGACCACAGGGCTCGCCATGCAATTACTCTATCTTCCCTCGTTCACACCGCAGCTGTTCACGCTGGGGTCTGCTGCCGGTCTCAAAATGCCCTTTCCCCCTTCTTTGCTGACTGATCATTCAAGACCTGATATGGGCATTGCCTTCTCCAAGAAGCCTCCTCGACTTGCACACAAGTGTGTGCTGTGACCCTTGTGTGACCCTGCTGTGACCCTTGCCCTTCAGTGTGTGTGCCTGTCACCCACCCCCACCCCAGCAGAGGACTCCTGGGTCAGTGACCTGCTCTTTCTCACTGTGGTCCACCCAGTGCTTGACGTATTGGGAGGTGCGTCGCCACTGTCACACCAAACAGCACAGGAAGGAAGGAGGAAAGGAAGGAAGGGAGAGGAGTGAGGTCGGGCAGGGTATGGGTGGTGGAAGCGTCTGGGAGTGGCCCCCTGCGTGCCAGGTACTGCTGGGGGTTCCATTTACTCTTTGAAACCCCGAGGGACAAGCATGCTTGTCTCCTTTCCGTGCAAGGTGACTTAAGTCCTAGTAACTTGCCCAAGCTGGTATCCGGGAAAAACCAGGGCTTGGGTGTTCCAGCTCCTGGCTCGGGCCTCTCATTCCAGTGCCTGGGAGGGTCAGCACTCCCACTTCCGGGCTCTGGCAGGACGCCTCTGGGGCCAGAGGCTGGAGTTGGGCAGCCCCCTCCCTTCCTGGGAATTAGAACTCAAGTTGTGAGCCTCCGTCTCAGCTTGGTCTTGGCCTCCAGCGTCCCCTCTGCACCACTGTAGATCAGGCTCCACCTTGAGGGGGACAGCCTGACTCCTCCTTGGGGGTCGTCTCTGCTCCCCTGCTCCCCCTAGTCCCAGCCTTGCGATCTTCCAAAAGCCACTTGTCCTCCTATTAGCCAGGTGGTGAGAGGAGCTTAAGGAATGGATGGGGCTGGAGGAACCCACCCCCTGCCTCCCTGGGCACCAGGAGGGGTTCCCAGCACATGACTGCCACCCTTCAGGGGTGCCTGGAGCCCCAGTGCTCCCTCCTCCCTGTCCCAGCTCCCAGCTCCAGGCAGGGCCAGTGGTTTCCCCGGGCAGGTTGGAGCACACCTGCTGCTCTCTCTGCAACCTCCATGGGGCCCCTGGAGCCTCCACCCCCTGGCCGTGGGGGACCAGAGTCTTTGGAACAAGGGTCGTCCAGGGGTCTCTGAGCCCCTGGATCGTCCCCTCCCCTCCAGATGCTCCCACCCGCTAGACCCGCGTGCCCAACCTGAATTGCTCCCTCTTATATCTCCCCGCCCCATCCTCCCCTGCCCTCATTTGGAGACAGCTCAGAGAAAGACCCCGTCCCTAAGGCCATCTGTGCTCTGCGGTCGGCTCCACCGCTGTCTCTGAGACTGGCCTGTGTCTCTGTCCTGCGGGTGTGTCTCGTGATCTCTACGTGGTGTGGACGGGTGGGCGCTGACCTCTCACTGTCTGGATTTCATCAGCCTTTCTCGTCGTCTTTCTCTGTGGCTCCCTGTGTGGCTCTCCTCTCCCTGAGCCCTTCCGTCTCCATTTCCATCTCCCCTGCTCCCATCAAGGCTTGGGGGAAGGGGCACCCTCTTGGGGTGCCCCTGTCATTCCCACTGAACAACCTGGGGGCTGATGGGAGGCCCAGGCTGCACCCCGTCATTGCCCCTCCTCGGCCCCTGGCCCGGTGACCCCAAGCCTCACCTTCTCCTGTCCACCCTCAGGCTTTCCCACGCCCGGTCACCTTTCTGCCTCCCTGCACCACCTCCCAGCCCCCAGAACTTTCCTCCCCTGGGCCTAGCCGGCCCTGATCCTGCTGCCTTAGGAACTGTGGGTTTGAAGGTGGCTCCATGTCTGCCTTCCGCCCACCCTGGACAGAGGGACCTAGCCACTCACTGTAATTACATGTGGCTGCCGGCTGCCTCTTCCAGCCCTCTTGGGCCGTCTCCCTGTCTCTCTTCCTGCCTGGAGCCTCTCCGCCTCACCCCAGGCTTCTCTGACTCTTTCTCGTGCTATCGTCCTCTCTCTCTGCCCTGGTTTCTCACCATTTCTCCATCTGTATCTTGCTCCCTCTCCATCGCCTCTGCCTCTGGCCCCATCTTTATCTTTCTCTCCATCGCTGACTTGCTCTCAGTTGCTGCCTGTCCTGGGCTGTCTGTCACTGGGCATCTACGTGCCTGGTCTCTCGAGTTCTGATGCACTGTCTCTCTTCGCTTCTACATTTCACATCCTTCTGATTCTTTCTCTCTCCACGTCACTCTGGATGCCTCTTCCTATCTCCCGATCGCTGATCATCTGTTCTCTCCTGCGCTGTGTCTCTGCCTCCTTCCCTCACTTTCCTTTGTACCGTGCATCTCTGGCCCCCTCCCTGACCACACACGCACACACACACACACACACACACGTGCACACACCCTTGCTCGCTCATGGGCTGTGGTTTGAGAACTTTCTATTTTAGAGGCTGGCACTGTTACCAGATAGGGCAAGGGCTGGGTAGCTGGTACAGAGACCAAGAATGAGGGCTTAGGGCATTCTGGGCTGCGGGGAGGGGACCAGGGCTGGGCCAGCCAGAGGGCACAAGGAAGATGTCCGTCAGTTGCCTGCTTTTTTCTAGCCCAGACCCCATCACTCCTTCCTGGGCTGGAGGTAGTGACCGGATCTGCTCACCCTGCGGAGGCAGCGCTTGAGGAGGGCTCCCTGGAGGAAGCAGCAGCACCCTCCATGACCCAAGGCAATGACCCTGGGGCCCCCCAGGCCCTGAACAGCACTGACCTCGATGTCCCCATAGAAGCTGTGACACGTGAGTCCTAGGGGTCTGGGGTCTGGGGTGGCAATGGGTGGCAGTCACTCTAGGGAATCCATTACAGATGGGCTTTGGGTGCCCACGGGAGCCTCGCAGTGGGCCGGGACCTTGACGTGTGGGCGATGGAAGGGTGTAAGACATTGTCACTGTCCCCGCTGTCTAGGAGGAGGACATCCACATCATTTCTATCCACAAAATGATTCAGATAAAATTAGTTCAGAATGAGTGTGGACAGGCTGCAGGCAGTGTGGTTCAGGACGAGAGTGCGTACTGTCTACGGAAGAGGGGTTTGGGGGCAGGGAACCGGAGCCCGAGACAGCCCAGCTTACAGGGTGTCAAGAGCAAAATGGCAGGAGAGACTCTTCCAGTTGCTCTGGGTAGAAAGGAGCAAAACTCAGCTGTGTTCCTGGGTTTGGCTCTGTGTCTCCGAGGAGGTCCTGGAGAGGGAGAATTCGCCACCATCACCCTCAGAAGCAGGGGAGGGGGCTTCCAAAATCATTTTGTAATTGCCTGTAAGATCGGCAAAATCTATGGGACACGCTGGTACTTTTAAACTTTCTATCCCTGTATGAGCTCTCGGGCTCTCCAAATCAGCCTGTAGTGAGGTAGCCGGATAGCTCTTGCCAAGCCCATTTTACAGATGAGGAAACTGAGGCTCCCTCATTCTGGACACAGACTGGGGAGCTCAGGTCTCCTGCCCCAGGGCTCTGTCCTATGCCTGGCTGTCCTGCTTTCATGGCAGAGCTGTGGAGCTGCTTTCAGGCAGGGCATTTGGGGTAAGCTGGACGCCCTGGAAGTTGGGGTTACTAAATCCTTCTAGCACTCTGCCCTCGAGACACACCCACCAGCAGGACCGAGAGAAAGAGGTAAACGCCGTGGCCACGGAGGATAGGGCCTGGATGGGACAGACGCTCCTGTGTCCATGGGTCCTGGGTATTTGCTCTGTGACTCAGCTCCCACGGCCATGGCCACAGGCGAGCTCTGTGTCCGCCCAAATCTCCCGGGGCCCTCAGCTCACCACACACCCCCGTCTGGTCACTGTGCCTGTGTTCAGGCAGCAGGGCAGAGGGCACCGAAGCTGGCCAAGAACTCAGCTCAGTCATCCCCCCACCCCCCCCCTGGAGCCCAGTGGTGGGGGCAGGATGATTCAGGCCTGGCCACTTCCCATGGCCTTACCCCTGTTTACCCAGATGCAGGCACCAGCCGCTGCTCAGGGCCAAAGGCTCCTGGAGTGGCTCTGTCTCCCATCCTTTCCCTGACCCGCTCCCCCGCCAGCCCCAGTCTGTCCTCAGCTCCTTTCTCCCAATCTCCATCTCCTTCCTACTCCACTGCCTAGCTGTGGAAGCGCTGGCAAGTTTTACCCTCTCTAGGCCTTGGTTTTTTCATCTATAAAATGGGCTAGTAACAGTAATTCTGTTTGATGCTTAACGAAATTACTACACATAGGACTCTTAGCACTGTCTGGCACCTCGTCACAACTCAAGACACATTGGCTACTAATTACAAGAGTAGTGATGGTTGTGGTAGTAGCAATTCATTTCTCAGCCCTTTGTCTCCCAACTTCTGCCCCCCTCCTCGCCGTCCGCCCTTAGAACCCCACCTTTTAGCCTCCAGGCTGATCCTACCTCTGACCCTTACCTGTGTGACCTTGAACAAGTTTCTATACATCTCTGGAACTCGGTTTCCTCATCTGTAAAAGGATACTGCCCCATAGCAATACAGAGACCAATTTGCACCCCAAGTGCTCAGAACAGTGCCGGCATGCAGTGGGTGCCCGGCAAAGTGCTCCCACCGTCACTAGAAGGCCAGCCCCCCAGTCAGAGGAATCGCTGAGGCCCTCTTCTGCTCCCTCAGCCTCCAACAACCCCCACTGCCCCCCCACCCCCACCCCCCGCTCCCGACGTCTCCTGCCACAACCCAGACCCGGAGGTTTGGCCTGGAGGGACCTAGGGATCTAGACCCCAAGGCCGGAGAGAAGGAAGCACCCCAGATTTACACATTTACTGAGGGTCCTAAGGGCCACAGGGTCCCGCCCAGGAGTCAGGGGCCCTGAGCAGAGGGGTCCTCGAACTCTTGTGACCCCTTCTCAAACTCCTGCCCCGACACACACACACACACACACACCCGCCTTCATCTTTTGGGGACAGAACCATGCCATCCAAGTGGGCAAACCTGAGTGAGGTAAGGGAAGGAACCAGATGCTGGCATGCTCTCCAGGGCTGTTTTCCCCATACCCCACTGATAAAGCTGGTTCAGTCCCTCAGTCTGGTATAGGGACCCAGGGTTCCTGGCTTCCGAGGTCTCCCTGCTGGCCTCCTGCTTCCCTCTCCCACTCCCCACCTGGACACCTAGGGCCGCTCAGCAAACTTTCTTCCAGCGGGGGCAGGGGAGCTGGGGGCGGAAGGAGCAGGAGGTGGGGGGGCTGCTGTGAGGAGCCCCCTGGATTCCAGGGCCAGGCGTTCATCTCCAAACAGATGTTTCCAATGAATCACCCAGCACTCAAAGGGCAGAAGCAGCTGGGGGCTTGGCAGGGGCCGAGGTGACAGTTAACTACTTCCCTGCTGCCCCTCCGCCCCTCTCCGCCACCACTCTTGCCAAAATCCCTGGAACCCCAAGAGCAGGAGAGTGGATTTCGCGTGGGCTAAGAAGGTGAGGTGCAGGCCCCTGCGCTTCTCCCCTTACCCACACCTCTGTCTGTTCTTGAATGACCCCCGGCCTGGAAGTCAGGGGCCAGGCTCCACTCGGGGAAGCTATTCCATGCTGCCTCTGGGCAAGTCAGTTCTGCTCTCTTGGCCTCCGTCTCCTCGTCTGCAAAAATTCAGATCAGCTAGGTAACCTGGGGTATATCTAGGAACGAAGCCAGCAGGCGTCGAGCAGAGCCCTGGAAGACTGTGCCGGCCACCCCATCCCCCACCTCCTCCTCCATCGCCCTTTTCTCATCGTCTCTCTAGGCCAGCCCCAGGGGAACCCCTTGGACTGCACCCCACTAGTGGCGAATGGCTCTGGCCACCCCTCGGAGCTGGGCGGCGCCAGGCGGACGGGGAATGGTGCCCTGGGTGGCCCCAAGGCCCACCGGAAGTTGCAGACGCACCCATCTCTCGCCAGCCAGGGCAGCAAGAAGAGCAAGGGCAGCACCAAGTCCGCTGCCTCCCAGATTCCCCTCCAGGCGCAGGAAGGTAAGCACCCCACTCCGCCTCGCCCAGGGAGAAGCCTCCAGATCTTCCCCAAGCTGCTTAGAAGCACGGCGTCCTATCCCCACACCAGGCCCTCCAGATCCATTCCTCTGGGTGGGGCCCCGGAGTCTAGGTTTTAAGAAGCTCTCCAGGGAATCTGATGCAAGACTCTTAAAGCGGAGAACCTTGCAGAGGACACTTTTTGGATAAAGTGAGGCACATCTGAGCTCTCAAGACCACCCCTTCTCATCGCTCCTCTCTCAGAGTGGCTGTAGCAGGGAATGGAACCATCTGGGCTGGTCCAATCAAAGCCACCCCATTTCTGGAAACAGAAATTTTCCTTGAGGAATGGGCCATTTGCCTAGTGAGAGCCCAACACCTAGCAGAATAAAATGATGCAGCATCAGATGCTTAATTGGGAGGAGGATGGGGGGTGCAAAGTGCAGTGGGAGGTCAGAACACCTGGATACACCCACCATTGTTCCTGCCTCACAGAGGTCCTCTGGGGGGCTGCCCTGGGCAGTCAGGTCCCCCACCCCACAGGCGTGAGTTCAGCAAGGGTGACAGTTGCTGGTAACCCAGTGATGCTTGACCTTCACCCCAGAACTTTTAAGTAATTTCTCTCCATGTTGGGAGACTCTGGCTGGTCTTCTGCAGACAGAATTCAGTGTACACCTGAATTCAGTGTACACCTTTGCACACGACATATTCATAACTTTCACCCTTCCCCCCCAGAGCAGATTATGCCCAAGAGCCTTATTTATGAAGGGGATATTCATGCAGTTAAAATGAACAGGGAGGCATTCCTTTGTGGTCCAGTGGCTAAGACTCCACGCTCCCAATGCAAGGGGCCTGGATTTGATTCCTGGTCAGGGAATACCGCAAATAAGACCCAGCACAGCCAAATAAATAAATAAATATGTTTTAAAATGAAACAAAGTGAACAGGGTGTGACCTGTGAGCCAGGCACTGTGCTGCGTGCGGGGTACCCAGGCCATGGTTTCATAAAGCTTTCATGAGAGACACAAACAGGTCATCTCACTCTGCGATGTGATAAATGAGGAGTGACAAAGTGAACACGGGGATACCCACACCAGCCCCGAAAGCTGGGGAGGGGAGTCTGGGAAGGCTCTGGAGGTGTCCAAGCAAGCCTTAAAGTACCAGTAGGAGGATCCAGCCACGGTGCCTTAGCGCGGAGGTGAGAACTGGCTCCTGCGTCTAGTTGATGAAGTTCCAGGGGAGGAATGGTGGGAGGTGAGACTCTTAGTGGGGCTTTCAGATGGTGCTAGTGGTGAAGAACCCACCTGCCAACGCAGGAGACCTAAGAGACATGGGTTCGATCCCTGGGTAGGCAGGAGCCCCTGGAGGAGGGCATGGCAACCCACTCTAGTACCCTTGCCTGGAGAATCCCATGGACAGAGGAGCCTGGCAGGCTACAGTCCATGGGGTTGAGAAAGATTCCCTATACACAGGACCGGGGTGTGGGCATCAGAGCCTCCGTGGCAGTGTGAGATTCCCACCGGACCAGCAGCCTGTGCCAGGGGCCCGCCTGGTCAGGGGACCTGGACACAGCCCATGGCCCGGCCCCTGGGAGGTGTGCCAGCCAGGCACCCTGGCCACACGCTGAGCGGTTCAGAGCCTGGGCTGCTGAGGCAGCGCCGCCATGTCCAGCTGGATGCCCAAGGGCGGGAGCATGCATTAATTCCCTCCCCGTGTATTTATTTACTCAGCACCCGCAGTGTGCCAGTGCTGGACGCCTGCCCTTCTCATGCTGGTATTCTAGTAGGTGGCAGAGCTGTGTAAGCCATGTAAGATGATGAGTCCTAGGCAGGGAGGCAGAACAGGCCTGCGTGAGGGGATGGGGGTGCTGGGGTTGGGCGGGCAGCTTGCAGTATTGAAGAGGATGCTTGAGGAAGGCTTCACCGAGGGGAGACATTTGGGCAAAGAAGGAGGGGAGATGGAGTTGGCGGAGCAGGTTTCTGGGGCCAGAGTGCTGGGAGAACAAGGGGGCAGTGCCTGGAGGACGGGGAGCAGCCAGTGTGGCCACGGCGGAGTGATGGGGAGGCCATGGGAGCCGCTGAGCACTCTGGGCTTTTCCTCCCAGGGAAGTGGAAGCCACTGGAGGGTTCTGAGGGTGGGAGGGATGGAATCCAACAGAAGTCTTTCAAGGGTCCTCTGGCCTCCGTGTCAATGCAAGGGTGTCCAAAGGCAGGGAGTGAGTGAGGACGCTGTCACTGGGCAAGAGCTGAGCAGAGTGGAAGGATTCTGCATAGATTATTTATTTATTTCACTTTTGTCTGCACTGGGTCTTCATTGCTGTGCTCGGGCTTTCTCTAGTTGCAGGGAGCAGGGGCTGCTCTCTAGTCATGATGTGCAGGCTTCTCATTGCTTCTCTTGTCGCAAAGCCTGGGCTCTAAGGCACCTGAGCTCAGTAGCTGCGGTTCCCAGGCTCTAGGGCACAAACTCAGTAGTTGTGGTCCATGGGCTTAGTTGCTCCGCAGCATGTGGGATCTTCCTGGACCAGGGATCCAACCGGTATCCCCTGCCTTGGCAGGTGGATTCTTGACCACTGGACCACCAGGGAAGTCCCTGGATTGGCTTCGAAGAGACTTCTCCAAGCCTCCGTTTCTTCATGTGTAGCGAGGGGTTGACACAGCTCCGCCTCAAGGAGTTGTTACAAGTTCAAATGAGTTTAATTTCTGCACAACACTTAGAACAGGGTCTGGAACATACCCATCCTGGGTATGTTCATGAGAAAGATAAACGACCGAGGGAGTCGGCCCCTCGGAAGCAGGGACTCGGGATCCAGGCTGCTGGGCTTCAGACCCTCGCTTCCTGTGACTTCCCTGGGCCTCGGGGTCACCTGGGAGGTGGGTCCCCACTTGCCGGTGCCCGGGGAGGGTGGCCCGCGTGTCATTCCTCCCCGAGTGAGCCCCCGGCCCTCTCGCCCGCAGACTGCTGCGTCCACTGCATCCTGTCCTGCCTGTTCTGCGAGTTCCTGACGCTGTGCAACCTGGTCCTGGACTGCGCCACCTGCGGCTCCTGCAGCTCCGAAGACTCCTGCCTCTGCTGCTGCTGCTGCGGCTCCGGCGAGTGCGCCGACTGCGACCTGCCCTGCGACCTGGACTGCGGCATCCTGGACGCCTGCTGCGAGTCGGCCGACTGCCTGGAGATCTGCATGGAGTGCTGCGGCCTCTGCTTCTCCTCCTGACCCCTGCACGCTCCGGAGGCCGCCCCGTGTCCCTGGCTGTCACCCCAGGCCGCGCCGCCCCCTCCCCGGGCCCCTCCCACCCACCCTGCACCCTCCTGGAACCCCAGCCCGGTGAGAGGGGGTGCCGGTCCTCCTTCCCGGTCTCCCAGGACCTGGTGGGGGGTGATGGGGGGACCACTCCTGGATCAGCTGCCAGGGCTGCCGAACACTGTGAAAGCTGGGGGAGGGGGCAGGGACGTGTTGGGGGGGCTGGGGCGCTGGGGCTGTGCGCTTCTCTACCTCTCACTGCCCCTGTGCCTGCCTCCCCTGCCGCCCATCCCAGGCTTCGAGGACAGCAAAATGTGAAAAGAAACACATCCCACCCGACCTCAGCCACACCCCTCCACAGTCCCCCTCCTGGGGTCTTGGTGGGGGGGCCTGACCCATACAGTGACCCCGGAGGGCAGGGCTGGCCTTGGGCCCAGGGTGGGGTGGGAGGGGGGAACGGTATAGAAAAGACTGGAAGGGGAGAGGGAGGGAATGGAGGGTGGGTCTGTTCTGTTTGTTGCTGTAAATAAAGATGTATGTTCATCTCAGATTTCCTCAGGATTCATGAGTAACAGCCATGGACCAGGACTCTCAAAAGCAAACACTCCCACAGCCCTCCGCCTGCGCCCCCCCGCCCCCCCCGCCACCAAATGAATAGGGCTTTCCTGGCTTCTGGGCCCCCCTCCTTTGTTCTATGTCTTGCCCTGAGGGAAGGAAGGAAGGAAGAGGGGTACCCACTCCCCACCTTTATTTCCCTCTTCCGGCCAAAGGGAAGGAGAAGCCCAGACAGGGAAGAGTTAACCCTTGGCATAGAATTAATTAACAGCAGATGTGTTCAGGTTTTGATTAATTAATCTCCTGCTGACTCCAGTTTCTCGAAGCCATGATGACTCCAAGGCATAGGGTGACGCCTATGTCAGTGGCTGAGCCGTGCCTGGGGAGGGGGTAACCAGCATGGCACTAGGACGCATTTGTGGCCTGGGTGGGTTTCACGCGGCCCAGCTGCAGTTGACCCCCCTGATTGCCAGGGGGCCTGAGATCAAAGAAAGCTGTCAGGACTGGTGGGAGCCTCGGAGGCCCCGTGGTGTGGGGTAGGGGTTGGGGGTTGGACCGGGGAAGACCTGAGCACTGTGGCTGAACGTGGGGAGGGCTGTCTGGACCAAGCCCCCCTCCACCGGGTCCTGGACCTGGGGGAATCCAGGACGGGTTCAGGGTGAGTGAGAGGACATCTCGTGGTTGGCCTTGGAGTGTCCTAAGAAGACGTGGCTGAAGAAGGCCTTAAAAGATGGAGACCTCCTGGGAAACTGGTGGGCGCTGCTTCCAGGAACGAAGGGTGGAGAGGCCCCGACGGATTCTGGAGGAAAGGAGGGAGCGCAGGAAAAGGGCCAGATGAAATCTGAACTCTCTGAAGGAATGCCACGCTAGGAGCAGCCCACAGCCTTGAGCGTAGGCTACAACGTCAGCAAGAGGAGGTGACAGGAGGTGGTGAGGAGGACAGCCCCCCAGCACCACACCTCCCCGCACCTCCCCCCGCCACCCCCCGCCACCGCAAACGCATACACATGTACTCAAGCCTTACTTTACCAGCACCAGCGTTTTCTGTCTTCTGGGAGCACGTCAGAAACTCAGGACACAGAGAGGAACTGACCTCCCCAGGATCCCATCAGCAAGGTCAAAGTCGAGAGAGAAGCCCCATCTTCTTGGCCCCCCTCAATGTTCATTTATCTGCTCATTTGTCTCGGGTTTTGGGTTTTTTTTTTTTTTTGCTTAGCTATTTTATGCTTGAAGTACAAGCGTTTCAAGTCTAATCTGTGCATACACGAGCTTTTACCTGGATCGTTTTCCTTTTTATTTATAAAAATGTCAGCATCTCCCCGCACATTGCAGTTTTTATCACTTGACCATTTTGCCTTGGCGGCTCTTCCTTATCAGCACATTGAAGAGGGGCCTGGAGCTTCCCCAGGGATGAGCTGCCATGATCCAGGTGCCCAGCTCCGCTGAATCCCGTCCATTCATTTCTCTGTTATAAACAAGGTACATGAGCATGTCCTTTTGAACAAAAGAGCTGTTTCTGTAGAATAGTCCTGAAGGTGGGATCGATGGGCCTCAGGGCATGTGTTTGTGACTTAGCTGACCTCAATATGGGGTGCCCGTCCACCCTCCATGGCTGTGGGGAGTGTCCACCTCTCACTGCTGCCTCTCCGTCCCCAGGAGGATGGACGATGGTGGGAGGGCTCCCCTTCAGTCCCCACTCAACCCAGTTGCTTACCAGGGCTGGGGTTCAAGGAACTTGAGGGTGGCTGGGAGAACCGGGGTTGGGGGTGCTCCTGACCAACTCAAGGTCTGGTCCAGGTGGGCAGGAAGGCCCCCTCCCTGGCCCGCTCCCCTCCACGGAGGCTGAGGCAGGAAGAGGCACCTCTGCAGTCCAAATAGTGATTTCCTGCTGCAGGACAGGAGAGGCTGAGCTGGGTGGGGGCAAGACAGGGGCGGGATTTAGCCAGCCTCCCCCAGCGTGCACACACACACACACACACACTCTCTCTCTCTCTCTCTCTCTCTCTCTCTCCCTATCCTTAGAGCCACATACTCACGTGCCTTCCGCAAAGTCACACATACCACTCACAACACATACACACACTCTCCTTCCAGCCACATATTAACACACACTCCACCAAGCCACACACATCCCATACACACAGACACACAGACACACACCAGACCTATACACACATGCGGTCACACACTGCACATTTCTGAGCCGGCAACACTGCCAGCCCTGTTCAGCCTGACCTCGGGGTCTGCTGCCCTCTGCCTCCGCCCCCATCCCAGGCCTGCCCTGCCTTCCCCACCTCTGCATCCTTGCCCAGGTGGTCTCAACTCTGCTGGGAGGTAAATGGCATTTTATGGCATTGGAGGTGATGAAATTCCAGTTGAGCTATTTCAAATCCTAAAAGATGATGCTGTGAAAGTGCTGCACTCAGTAGGCCAGCAAATTTGGAAAACTCAGCAGTGGCTACAGGACTGGAAAAAGTCAGTTTTCACTCCAATCCCAAAGAAAGGTAATGCCAAAGAATGTTTAAACTACCGCACAATTGAACTCATCTCACACGCTAGCAAAATAATCCTCAAAATTCCCCAAACCAGGCTTCAACAGTATGTGAACTGTGAACTTCCAGATGTTCAAGCTGGTTTTAGAAAAGGCAGGGGAACCAGAGATCAAATTGCCAACATCTGCTGGATCATCGAAAAAGCAAGGGAGTTCCAGAAAAACATCTACTGCTGTTTTATTAACTACGCCAAAGACTTTAACTGTGTGGATCACAATAAACTGTGGAAAATTCTGAAAGAGATGGGAATAGCAGACCACGTGACCTGCCTCCTGAGAAATCTGTATGCAGGTCAAAAAGCAACAGTTAGAACTGGACATGGAACAATACACTGGTTCCAAATTGGCAAAGGAGTACGTCAAGGCTGTATATTGTCACCCTGCTGATTTAACTTATATGCAGAGTACATGATGAGAAATGCAGGGCTGGAAGAAGCACAAGCTGGAATCAAGATTGCCGAGAGAAATAGCAATAACCTCAGATATGCAGATGACACCACTCTTATGGCAGAAAGCAAAGAAGAACTAAAGAACCTCTTGATGAAAGTGAAAGAGGAGAGTGAAAAAGTTGGCTTAAAACAGCATTCAGAAAACTAAGATCATGGCATCTGCCATAACTTCATGGCAAATAGATGGGGAAACAATGGAAACAGTGAGTGACTTCATTTTGGGGGGCTCCAAAATCACTGCAGATGGTGACTACAGCTATGAAATTAAAAGATGCTTGCTCCTTGGAAGAAAAGTTATGACCAACATAGACAGCATATTAAGAAGCAGAGACATACTTTGCCAACAAATGTCCTTCTAATCAAAGCTATGGTTTTTCCAGTAGTCATGTATGGATGTGAGAGTTAAAATAAAGCTGAGTGCTGAAGAATTGATGCTTTTGAACTGTGGTGTTGGAGAAGACTCTTGAGAGTCCCTTGGACTGCAAGGAGATCCAACCAGTAGATCCTAAAGGAGATCAGCCCTGGGTATTCATTGGAAGGACTGATGCTAAAGGTCCGGTACTGTGGCCACCTGATGCAAAGAACTGACTCATTGGAAAAGACCCTGATGCTGGGAAAGATTGAGGGTGGGAGAAGGGGACGACAGAGGATGAGATGGTTGGATGGCATCACTGACTTGATGGACATGAGTTTGAATAAGCTCTGGGAGTTGCCAATGGAGAGGGAAGCCTGGTGTGCTGCAGTCCACGGGGTCACGAGTCGGACACAACTGAGTGACTGAACTGAACTGAATTGAAATGGCATTTATCTTAGAGGCCACCCACCCACCCAGCTCTGCCCACACATCCTTCCAGGGCAAGCCCTGGTTCTAGACCCTTCCCATCCACACCGTGGCCCTTCTCTGTTGGCCTCCAGTCTCTGCTCTCTGACCAAATGATCTCAGCCAGGTTCTGCTGTGGGCCCCGGGAAGAGGCCCTGTCACTCTTCAGACCTCAGTTTCTTGTGTGCATGATGGAACAGTGATGAGGCTCTGGAAATCTAATGTCAGTCACAGTGTCCGGGGAAGTGGTCTGCCTCTCTGGTTTTCTTTCACCCGTGGAGCAGGAGATCAGCATACCCATTTGCCCAGGAGACTTCTTGAGGGCCACCCTCCTGCCCTGGATTGTCTAATCCAAGACAAGCATGATCACACTTGTGTGAGGACATGGTGGTCAGGCCAGGTTGAGTTATCCCTGGCCAGGACTTCCCATGACCTCTGGGTGATCCCATGTGTTTGCCCTGTAACCAAGCAAGCAGCTGGGCCAGGGGCTGGCTTCTGCGGGGAGGGGTGCTCAGCCACCCTCCTCTGCTTCCGGAGCATCCATCAGCTTCTCCCACTTCTTTGGTACATTTAACTGGCATTTCCTGTACTTGAACTC